TATGTGCCATACATGTGCATCCCCCATGAGAAGAAGGTAATTGGATGCTCAAATATCCAAATCGGAGTATCAGGAAGCTATATTATCTGTCCCTCTCTTTAACCGATTGCTGTTTTGTGCTCATTGTTCTCAGTATTTTTAGCACTCAGTAGATCAATTAATTCTGCCTCACTTCAACTCCCCAAAACTCCTACGTTTGTGTGGGCTTCAATGGAAATGCCAAATTAGGACAATAGTGCCACCAGTTCATTGTGTTGCAGAAACAGTAGCGAATCCCAATGGAGACCCAGTAGTTGCAGGATGTATAAGTGATGAGAATGATGTTGTCATGGTATTCTTTGGGCACTTCCTCCTGTGCTGCAATTCGAGGACCAATAGAATGTTGTGTTATAAACATTGGAACAAACTTGGCCATGATTGGACTCAGCTCGGCCTCCACCCAAAGGGAAACAACACAATGGTGATAGCAAGCATTTTAAGTGGTGTGAGTTCCAATCAAGGATGTTTTATCCCCACTAATCTTGGTATCCCAACAAACCACATGAATATTCCAAGAATATTCCATGGCCTGTGGGATTATAGGCCATAACGCCTTAAGGGTTAGGAGGTTGGCCTAGGGTTCACTCTCTTGCTCATTTCAAGCCTACCTTAACAGTCCTGTGGCGAGCCCATTGAAGCAGTACACGCAGCAATCTGTAATTAGAGGTTTAAGTCGGTTGAATTAACATTGCCATGTGTACAAATTGTTGATTAGTCGTATATGTTCTTGAGAACATGACTTCCACATGGGTGGGCAATACATGTTCTGGAGAACATCTACAGGCCATGTAGGATGATATAGCAACTTGTGATAATATTCTCACAAATAATAAACCTTGATCTGACAGCTTAATAGTGAACCATTGGCCATTAAGGCTGGGTACTTTGTACTCCCAAAGGGAAGCAGCACAATCCTGATCCAAGCAAGCCTTTTAAGTGTGAGTATGTCTTTACGTTCCAGGACTCAACTTGAAGTGGTTTGTGTTTAATCTCAAAAACTATTATAAAACCATTACTATAGGGTTTTGTTTTGACAATGGCAGAACTACCCTTTGTATTGCATGTGTCATAGAAGAAAGAGTTGGCCTATTTAGAGATTGGCAAATTGTGGAAACTCTAAGATTAATTGCAAATCTATGTTCACATTGCTGGTTGTGTGTTTGTGATTATACTTCTCCCAGTGGAGCTAGGATCCTTGCTAATTCTATGTTTAGTTTTGAAATATTCATGTGAGAATTCTATTTTGACGATGCACCTACTTCATCCATCTTTAGGGTGATAGTATTTTTAAACTTGCAAATGCTATTGGTATGACTATTATTACTGATGTTATTGATGATGGCAAAAGACAGTCACTTGAACATTTATTCCGGATGATTGCTGAGAATTTTATCAGGATATGTATATAGTAAAATGTCTTACTTGTCTATTAATAAACAGATTAGAGGCTGGTTTTAAATTGACAACTCACATCCTGTAAATCTTTAAACCACTTTTTCTTCTAGTAACAATTTGTTTTTCAAGATTTGAAGCAAAATGTGAATCTTGCAAATACAAAGACTATGTGTGGCAACAAATTTCTCTCAAAGGAAAATAATATAGTGCAAAAAAGTTGTTGAGATGTCATAATTCCTTTGTATCTTATCAATCAATTATATCCACAAGTGTCTTAGTTACAAGATTTTTGGAGAGTAATTTCTACAAAGCTAAAATCCACATAGCTGAAAATACCCTTTATGGTAGATTTAAATAGTATAATGGGTTTTGCAGCTGAAGATAAGTAACAAAATGCAAAAACTAGGTATGCAACATAAATGTAAATATATTTTATGCTCATGGTTTACAACTTTTATTACTCTATAGCTAATGGATTCAAGAACATTTTGAAAGAGATGCTTTGCAATGTATTTAGACATTGTTTGAAGTCAAACAAGTTGATTTTATTGACTACAACACAAGCTTTTACTTCATTTGTTTCTATTTTAAATAAAGAAAAGGTCATCAGGTTTGAGTTTTCTCTTTTTGTCTCTCTTGTTTATAATTAAGATAGTGACCGGTGTATTAATGCTATAAAAAAACTTACAGTAATATAAATAAGCTATGTGTTTACACACTATTTTAGAATTACACTGAAATAGAAATATTGAGAATTTTTTTTCCAAAATGTACTAAAAGAAAAAAACTAAATAAATAATTGCTCTATGACTCAACTTGTAGATGTTATTAGTTACAATATTGAGCTATAACTTAGATCTGCATGGCTGATGTCTCAAGGGTAATAAGTTGCTTATTTGTTGCAGCTCACTAGCTAAAAGTTATTTTTTAAATTAGAGCTGCCACCCAAGAAAATAAATAAACTATAGAAATGGAACTATTGAAAAGTTGACCAATATCTTTAATCATAGAAAAGACATAGAGGTAAAGATAGTAGTTAGGATCTTGATATAATAAAGTTTAAGGTGATGTTAGAGGCATGGTAATGCACATCCAAGAAATAACACTATTAAGAAACTTAAGTATAATTGATTAGAACAAATGCTAAAGAGCTATTTATAATACCCAGATCTTTATTGTCTTTTAGTGTAAATTCCCCTCCCATGACTCCTAAAGAATATCCATGCATCTCTATGTTACACCCTAAATACTACATTAATCAAAACATAACTTTGACTGCTTCTAAGGTTTGCATAGCATAGCTATTCTGCCCTACCACCACCTAGAATGCAATGCTATTGCATATTACTTCTTTGGGTCTTGCCCAAGCCTATACTTTTCTACTAATACTCCCATATTCATCCTTTATGGTAGTAAGTGAATTCTATCCTTGCTACATCTTTAGCACTCCACTGAAATTCCAACAATCCTCAGCAATAATTGAACCTTCAATGTCAACCCACTAGCACTTCCTAAAACCTTCTTTATCACTTCTCCTTAAGCTGAAGTAAGAGATCCTTATACTTGTTCCTCTACAAAAATCTTTTGCTCCATCCCAAATTCCTTTCATTTTAGCACTCTTTTGATGTTGGCTTCCCCTACTCTTGTCTTTACCACCTACTTAGTAGGTGACTCCATCTCCTACACTTGATTCTTGGTTGTCTTCCAAAGTTTTTGCATCCTCTCAAATGTCTTCATCCTTGCTTTTTAGCTTGCTGATGGTGTCCTCTAAATCCTCACTCAGGTCTAACTCCTCTTTGATGAACTCCTTAAATTCCTATTTAAACTCCTTTTCTCCTATTGCATCCTTCTATGCCTCTTGGTAAGTTTTATATCCTTTGGCACTAAGGAACATTGTACCTGTTTCTCGAGCTTCGAGATCCTCTACTTTTGTTGCAAGTCTTTGCTTGCAACTCTTTTAAGGATCTAGATAACTTGATTTAGCTTCCTTGCATTTATAGCTGTCCAATGCTGCCATGTCATGAGCTCCTGTAATGCACAGCTCTCCTCTAAAATCTAATTATTCTTCTGAAACTTTGCTAATGCATTTTTATATCAAGTGTTGATTCCACAATCCGCTATTCAAATTCCAATCCTTGCTATTAGTGTGCCTTCACCAAATGCTACACAACCTCCAATAACTTCTGTTTCTCATCACAAAGTTGTTGTACATCAATGACCTGTTGCATAGTCTCTCTACTAGCTAGCTCCATTAGCTCGCCTTGCATCTCTTGGATCATAGAGAGATCTCCTCTTGCAGCCAAACTTGAGTCACCATAAGTTGGGTTTTATATACCTAAGGTAATGGCATATCTTCCTAATATCCCTAGATTGCCAGCTGAGGATGGAATGCCTTTGTCTCCAAGTATTCCTATAAAATTCACTAGAGACCCTTGCAAAAGATAGATAAAATCAACCCTTTGAATGTTATAACTATATAGTGGAGCCATTAATCCACAAGCCAACTCCAATCCAACTTGATCCCAACCTCCAACAACCACTCAATCACACTCACTAACTCTGGTGGTAGATCCTTATAGCTAAGGCTTGATTTGGTGTTGTCTATATGCCTAATTTGTTAATTGTGTTGTCTTTGGAGCCATGACTCTATTCTTCATTGCATCTACAATGAGCTTACAGCAAGATTTGAAGAGGGTTATCACTTCTTCAACCTATAGTCAATTAGGCTATATGATCTTTATACTTGAGATTTCTCATTATGTGATAAGCATTTTTCATTTAATGAATCACACCTACTTCAAAGCAATATTGTTCTTGAGTGTAGATTTAGTCATTCATGCTTGGGGCAATTACCAGGATCTGTGAAAGATATTCTAAGTATATAATCATGATTTACTGCTCTTAAACTGTTCTTTAATTAGTTTGTAATTAAGGTTTTGGGGAAAGTAAATGGTTTACATGAAATTTATAACCATTTACCTTATCATTTAGCTCATCAAAGATAAAAAAATTCTCCTTTTATTTTGATTTCCTTTTTCTTAATTTATCGGCATGTAAAATTTTCTGAGGAGCTTGTTTATTTGTAAGCAAAAGCATTTTTTCCCAAAAAGGTAATTACCTTTGGTGATAGCACATAAGTCATCACTAGCCCTACCACATTACAATCAACCACTATGCTAGAAAGCCAGCCATGTTAAGGATATAGTTTTAGCAAGATAAATTTTAGTGATTAAAGAAATTGCCAATATAGAGTGTTCTTGGGTTTTTGAGCAGATCCAAGGTTTCTTAATCCATAAAATAATTAATTTTAATTAATTAATTAATTTATAGAGTAGGGATTCTTTATTGCAAAATATAATAGAGGAATAAAATCTCTTTAGAGGAACCATCTACACTCTTTGGTTATGGAGTTGGGATTGGCTCTGTGACTCTGCCCAAGGCAGTGCCAAGCCTCTGGGAATCTACGCTAGACAGGTGCTCCCAGTTCTTGAGGCGCGATGTTTACTATTATTACAACCGGGACAAGCCTTGGAGTTGCATCCTCTACTAGAATTGTAAGATAACGATGAGTAAAGAATCGCAGTTTTTCTTCCTCAAAACTCACTGAGTTCGTGAAGAATGTGAAAGTTGAACGAATCATGAAGTAACAATGGCAATGCTATCGCTCGCTCCGAGTGGTGCTTTACTGCGATGCTTGTCCACGTGAACAAAGTATTCCCAGTGAAGCAGGAGCGAATTAGTCACCACTCCCAGCGAGCTCAATCCCATGAGAGCACCCGCCAGTGACGGCGTGAGCATCACTCTGGTGGCTGGAACAAGAGCCCCCGCAGCTATTGGCAAACCAATCTGTCAACAAACAGCACTGGAAAGTTTTAACAAAAAGAACCAAAATAGCCACTTAACTATGTTGTACATGAATGCCCAGCATAAGTTCTGCTTTATCTTTCTCTGGATTCTTCGGCTTAATTCGAGAGCATCCACCACCTGGAACCAGATTTTGAGAACGATAAGAAAATCAGAATCCATCTTCTTACTTGTCTGATCCTTCTTCAAACTCGAAACGTATCCCGTGTCCAAATCTCATCATGAGCGTCGGATACTGAGCAGGATTGCAACGAGCAGCTCGGCTCCACGTCGCTGGACAAACGCACTGCCGAGGATCTTTCTGCTGTGAACGGATCAAGACGCCCTGTGCCAGACGAAGCCATCAATAACCAATACATATTCATGATGAGTGCGAACCTGGAAGAAGTGTATCTTGAACTCTCCTAGAAACGGAGGTTACTCAAGTTGGATTCCTTTTGCAGCTTTAATGGACGAGGAATAGTCTTTCTCTCGTCTGTGTGAAGTGCTACAGGAAGTTTGATCGAAAAAATCACAAGAACGAAGCTGTAAAAGGATATGTGAATGTAATGGGAAGTCGTACCCGAGTGTCCTTTTGTATAGCAGATTCTATCGCTGTTTTTGCAGGAGCACAACTGGACTTAGAGGTATAGGCCTTGGCATACAAATAAAGCTCCAAACTTACAGAAGTGTCTCGAGCAGACTCTTCCATGATCGATATGTCTAAGAACAAGTAAAAAGAACATGAGTCTCATACAGCGAGGAACGAGAAAACATACCAAGCGGCTTGGAACGGCTGTCGAATCTTTCGGAAAAACATGTCTCCCGCAAACTGTCCCTGTTGGAATTCTTCTCCACGCTTGTGTTGCACTCGTCGTGTAAACTGGACTTTACTTCAAGAGTGGGTAGCTCCGGCAGCTTCTTGGGTGATGATCGCGTTGGTATGGGAAGCTCGTCCGGATCCAAAACGCCGATGTAAAATTTAGGTGCACAGCACGAAAATTTCGCATTCGCCAGTGAGAAAGGCCAAGACTCTTCCTCAGATTACGGTACTTCTTAATTTTTCGACCAGGAGGAACGGGAGCTACAACTGGAGCGTCCTCGACCCTGACATCTAGAGGGATCCAGGGAAAAGTCTGCAAATTTTGCCTACCTCGAGATCCCCATTTCCGGTGGCGGATCGTCGTCCTCCATAACAACGGGACAAGAAGAAGCGGCGGCACTCGACATGTCGAGGAGCCTGACGCGTCGCCATCCTCTGCGCTCCTCGCTCCTTCCAAGCAATCCGACCTAAATGTTAACGTTTTTCAAATCCCGACGGAGCTTTTGCTTTCCACTTTCTTACCCGTGTACTGACACTGCACTCTACTCTCACAAAAATTGCCTTGGTGTATCCAATCTGGAAGCTCCCGTATTCTTTCATTGCTTTCAGTAGCGCTTAAGAAGCTCTGCGGGTCTGTCCGTGGCAGCAGTGGCCTCCTCTCGTCATCTCCGACATGGAAACGACATTCCTATATGAAAGCATCATGTTTTTATATTGCACCAGAACGCCATACGAATGGAAAGTCAGTAAACTTTATTAACGCCAGCAGAACTTCATTCAGAGGCTACAACACAAGTACCTGATCAAGAGAAAACGGCTCAGTTGCACATATATTGATTGTGCTATTCCTTAATCCAGCTTCTTGCTGCTTCTTGTGCATACTCTCAAGGAGTAGCTTGTACGTGTTTGCTCCTTCACGAATGGATTTGGTGAAATCGAGAGTGAAAAGACTGTGTCTCTGAGTTTGATACTGAAAAGAATAACAGAAACTGAGAGAACAAATCAAACAATGGGCAAAAGAAACTTACAAACAAAGTTATCTCGTGATCCAGGCACGCTGCAATTGAGGTAACAGTCGTTTTGAAGAAAACCTTTGCTTGCAGCAGAGTTGAAACTTGATTTGAAGCCTTCATCCATCTTTTCCCTGTTGTCTGGAAAGGCAAATCAAGCATCGTGCCGCTGTGGCATTCGTTAAGCACAGCAGTTAGCTGGACACCAGGTTGAAGATCTTCTACCATTATCTTATGTAGAATATCATCTATGAGCACCTACATACAAACAAAATCATGACCAAAAAACATAACAGAAGAATAAATGAAAAAGCATACCCAAATCTTTTTCGATGCTTATAGATTGCTGCCATTCAACATTGCTGATGCTATTTATTCTAGTGAGCATTTCGATTCTTCTTGCTCTGTGGGAGAGATAGGGACACTTTGAGGAAGCGTTTTCTCCCGTCGTGACTTTAGAAAACTAGTTTGCGGTCAAGAAGGGCACTGATTCCGCGTTACCCTGGAGATTGCCTTTTTATAAAGATCGTCGAGGCCTACTAATAACGGTTAATGATGAGAATATCACTGGATGCACTGATGACGTTGCTGACATTGAGATGCTACTCCACAAGTCCTTTGGATAAACTGAAGTCCATTTGAGAAGCAAATTGCTTCATTGTTGCCATCAAGTTCATCACCATTCATATCAAGAAGGCTCTCCAAACCATGTCCACAAAAGAAGAAGAAAAGCCGATCTCCAGTAACTCCACTTGTGATGAACTTTTTGATTGCAAAATAAGCACGTCTAGTGCTCGGACCTAACAAAAACCAACCATGTAAAGTAAAGAGACGCAAACAATCATAAACCAGTAACGATACCGGACAGGAGCTAGACTTCAGTGTATCCAAAAGACTCGTGGCGTAACATCTCAATGTCAGCAGCATCATCAGTGCATCTAGTGATATTCTCATCGTTGACCACTATTAGTAAGCCTCGACGATTTCCATAAGAGGGCAATCTCCAAGGTAACGCAGAACTAGTGCCCTTCTTGACTGCAAACCAGTTTTCTAGAATCACGACAGGAGAAAATACTTCCTCAAAGTGTCCATATCTCTCCCACAGAGCAAGAAAAATCAAAATGCCCACTAAAATAAACAGCATCAGCAATGTCGAATGGCAGCAATCTATAAGCATTGAAAAAGATTTAACTTACCCACAAGGAAGAGGATCCAGGTGGCAGTAGCCCACACATTGCGATGCTTAGGCGGCGGGTGCAGCATCGCCAGCACAATCAGCAGCAACATGCCTAGTAGGATCACCATCGCAAGCTCTCAAACAGCCCTAGACCATTCATAAAACCTAGCCGATGTTTGCCAATTCTACGAGGCATATTCCGTTGCACGGAGAGAGGAGCGCGGTGCGCTCACCAAGCTGTTTGCTCCGAAGTTTGTCCTCCCGCAGCACGTTGACGCAGGGCGCATCAGCCACCAGCTTGACGATGGTCTCTTGCGGGTAACTGTGCCGCTTGTTGTGGGATTTGGATTCGACGAGCAAGAGGCGGAGAGCGAGGAGCGTGCTGTGCTTCCTGCTGTGGGTGCGGTGCGATCTTCTGGTTACTGACATGGCGGAGGAGCTGGTTCAGCCTGAAGCTCTTGCTGGCTACAGAGCTGTATTGTGTCTGTCACTGGCGTGATTCAAGACGAAGACGAGGGCCAAGCACGGAGGCTGGAGCGGGGAGGAGCGAACACCAAAGAGTTCGCGCTCAGGCTTTCTTTTCCCCCTAACCACCCGGTTGGTGCAAACGCAACTTACCATGGTAGCGATGGCTTGGTGAAGGTATTTCTGCCCAAGGCAGTGCCAAGCCTCTGGGAATCTACGCTAGACAGGTGCTCCCAGTTCCTGAGGTGCGATGTTTACTATTATTACAGCTGGGACAAGCCTTGGAGTTGCAGAATTGTAAGATAACGATGAGTAAAGAATCGCAGTTTTTCTTCCTCAAAACTCACTGAGTTCGTGAAGAATGTGAAAGTTGAACGAATCATGAAGTAACAATGGCAATGCTATCGCTCGCTCCGAGTGGTGCTTTACTGCGATGCTTGTCCACGTGAACAAAGTATTCCCAGTGAAGCAGGAGCGAATTAGTCACCACTCCCAGCGAGCTCAATCCCATGAGAGCACCCGCCAGTGACGGCGTGAGCATCACTCTGGTGGCTGGAACAAGAGCCCCCGCAGCTATTGGCAAACCAATCTGTCAACAAACAGCACTGGAAAGTTTTAACAAAAAGAAGAACCAAAATAGCCACTTAACTATGTTGTACATGAATGCCCAGCATAAGTTCTGCTTTATCTTTCTCTGGATTCTTCGGCTTAATTCGAGAGCATCCACCACCTGGAACCAGATTTTGAGAACGATAAGAAAATCAGAATCCATCTTCTTACTTGAAGCAGTTTGTCTCGCATGAGAACAATGGACGCCACCTCGCTTGCAGCTCCTATACCCGTTGCCATGGCTATTCCCACATCGGCCTGTGCAAGTGCTGCCGCGTCGTTGATACCATCTCCAACCATGGCCACGGTCTTCTTCTCCTTTTGAAGCTGAACAATAAGCTCAGCTTTTCCGTGAGGCCTCACTCCAGAAAACACCTAGCAGCAGCAGTCAAAAATCGATTCAGATGAGTAGGTTCATACCTTGTTTCTATCAATTCCCACATTCCTTGACACGAGCTCGGCAACTTCACGTTTGTCACCCGACAGCATATACGTCGATACTCCCAACCTCTGCAGAGCTCTCACAGTCTCCGCGGCGTCGTCCCTGATTTCGTCGACCAAAGTGATAGCAGCAGCAATGGAGTTGTCCACCCCGACAAAAACAACTGTTCTTCCTTCCGGATTTCCCAGAAGTCGCGGGGGCTCTCCAACCGTTCCGAACCTACAACATATCAAAATTAATAGATATTGCCACAAGTAGATAGATATAAGAGAAACCTTTGGACCCAATCTAAGGTGCCGACAGTTACTCTCTTTCCATCCACAACAGCTGTTGCCCCACTCCCAGGTTCTTGCTCGAAAGATCCATCTTGCACCTAGAGAATAACAGATCAGAACATTTCTGCTCACAGAGAACATAGTTCTCACCAATGCGCCCGTAGATCCTACGTTTTCTGCTTCCTGAACAATGGCTTTTGCGAGAGGATGGCTTGCTGTACGTTCCACTCCATGAGCAAACTTTAGAACTTCTTCTTTACTCCAGTACCTGAAAGAAATAGTTAGTAAGTGTAGTATCTTCTAACTCGATAGTAATACTTATTTAACACCACGTCAACCACAACAGGCCTCCCCAGTGTAAGTGTGCCAGTCTTGTCGAACACAACCGCATCAACAGCGGATGCTTTTTCTAGAATGTCTCCACCTCGAACTAGTAAACCATTTCGTGCTCCCAGTGACGTGCCCACCTAGATAAGTGCAAATACAAGTCTTACAATGACGAACAAAGTTTTAAGTACCAGAACAGCGGTTGGTGTGGCAAGTCCAAGAGCGCAAGGACAGGCAATCACCTGGAGAACCGGTAAGAAGTTGAGCAGTGCCAAACAATCAGTGAAATATATACTCACAAGCACATTACAAGCAAGCTGTAGGCCGAGAAGAAGTCCACCACCAGTCGGGATGACGGAAGGAAACAGCTTTGGTCCCAAAACGCTCCAAAATCCGAGAGTGGCGACAGATAAGGCCATTACTGCATAACAAAACTTGCCTGAAACCTACAAAGAAAAACAGTCAGCGCGCTAAACAGTGACGTTTGCGTCCACACACCTTGTCAGCCAACCTCTGTATTGGTGCTTCTCTTAATTGAGCGTTCTCTACCATCCTCACAATATCCCCAACAACGGTTTCATCACCAGACCGCACTGCTTCAACCAGGATCACACCATTGTGGTTCACTGTTCCAGCATTTACTTCATCCTGCATTGCATTAAGTTGAGCAACAAGGCCACAAAAGTCGTAACTTACACCAGATTTCTTCAAAATCGGAAGAGGTTCACCAGTAAGACTGGATTCATCCACAGTGCTTCTGCCTTCTTTCACAATGCCATCCACTGGGATAATGTCCTGAGAACAATAAAATTAAATGAACCGAAGAATGATAGCTATACTTAACATACCCCAGGTAAGACCATAACCCGGTCTCCCAGTACAATGCTATCACATGGAACGTCCACTGTCGATGGAACTTCGTCTAAGCTTTTCCCCATAACAAGCCGAGCATTTTTGGGAAGAAGTCCAAGTAGGCTTTCCATATCACTGCTTGCCTTCACTTTTGCTCTTTCTTCCACTGCTCTGCCGAGCAACACGAAAGCTAAAAGCATTACGGGCTCTTCGAAAAACGAACTCCAACCCTGTGAAACAAACGCTTAAGCCTTCTCAATGTAAGGATCGAACTCTACCAGCTTTGGATATAGTGCCGCGATGACACTGACTGCAAAAGATGAAAGAGCTCCTAAGCCCACCAGGGTGTTCATATTGGGACTCCTTCGACGAAAGCTTTTCCATCCGTCCAAGAGAAGGCTGCGGCCAGGTCCTACTAGCGAGAAAACGCAAAGAGACATCTGAAAGCTCACTGAGTGGAAAAAATGTAGCCATGGAGGAAAATATTTGAGACCGAAGTGACTTGCGTGGCCAACGAGACTCAGAGAAAATAGCGTCCAGGCTGCTGCCAATCTCCGCCCTGCTCAGTCAAGTTAATCCATGACATGCATTTACAAAACACTATGCATACCAGAGTCTTTCAAACGAACTTTACGTTCCTCTTTTCTTTTGTAAGCTGCTTGAAGACGACTTTGGGACCCTTGTTCTGCATGACCAAAGCCCAATGAAACATCTCAGTCTATTCCAGTTGAATCATGTTCACAAAGATATAGTTTATTGAAAGCAAAATCTCCACTGCTTTACAGAGGAACTTCTGCAACCATGCAGAAAAACAAATCAGGCAAGGATGGATTCCTTCCTAGTCTATTGTGCTGCAAAGGGAAGACACCTCACCTCGTACTGATGATTTAAATCCGCAAGTAGTCAGGTGATTTGCAAGATGTTCCGCAATCTCCCGATTAGATGCTGCAGGAGAATCCTGTTTGACGTGAATAACTGCGGTTTCTGTGGCAAGATTGACAGTAGCAGAAGCTACTTGAACCTGGAAAATTCATAGTCATTGCATGCATACACTCATCGAAGCCGAGACCTGGGACTCAAGGATCCTCTTTACGGACGCTGCGCACCCACCACACGACATTCCCTGTTGCAAGCCAAATAAACTGATAAACAAAAGCTCCTATGTGTGACATACCCCAACGTCGAGAATAATTACTGGTTGAGCAGCACTCGAATCGTCAGCTTCGCCACTCACTGACTGTGCTGGCACAGCCGACGTCTGAAACCCATCTCCGCCTCCACCTCCTCCTCCTGGTCCTTGGCCTCCACCACTGTTGAAATTGCAGCCCCCTCCTGCACCAGTCGCCAGGCTGCTGGAGATGCATCCCAGTACTGGAACCTGCTTGTGGCGAGCGCAGGCTGATGCACTTGCAGACTTCAGCAACAGCGCCGCTCCAGCTTTCCACCAGACAGATCGCTGTGAACTGCAATTGCGTACTACGAGCTTGAGCCTTATTTGGCGCCTCAACGCGGAGCTAGCTCCTGCTTGACACCCCCAGAGGCTTCCCCGGACACAGGCCTCCATCGCCTCCATCGCCTATAACCCACTAGAAGCTCTCCTTTCTTTTCCACTGTTTCTCCCACATGATCCACGTTGTAGCTGACCACACAAGTCCGGATATCACGTTTATGATGAATGAGCTTTTATATATACCTACTGACTTTATCCGCTAGTTCGTCTTCGATTTCGTGGATGGGTATGCAGGCAGGCTCGAAATGCGCGTATCCAAAACGGGCACTCCAATCGTAAAATGGTAGAGACTCTGGAATTTTCTGTCCTTGATGCCGAGTACTTGATGCACTGTTTGTGAGAGAGATTCTCAGTAAGATGAACCAAAGCATGTCACATACCAGAATCATCGAAGTAGCATCCAATACCAGTCGCGGATATGCCAACTGCGTGCGCTTCAAGATAGAGCAACTGACCAAGCAAGCCAGCTTCCCAAAAGAGCCGCGGATACATCCAAGCACCATGCTCTTTGAGAGAATCCTCAAATCTTGCCACCATTCCGAGGCTGAAGCATCCATCGCCCGCAATATCCTAAAAGCCAACATATTCATCAGTAAAAAAGAGAAAAGAAAGAAAGAGAATAAAATAAATAAATCTCACCTGGTGGCAAGACAGTCGCTCGGCAATGCTCCGACAGTCTCCTCTCGCAAGAAGATAAAGTGGAAGCTCTGACGGGCATCCTGCTGGTTTTTCCCACACAAAATCTTGCCTCAAGTCCGCTCTATAATCTTCTTCGTGCAACGGATTTCTGACGAGTAAGTAAAGGCCCTGCTTCATCTCGGCAACTCTGTGAACAAACAACGCCATGCTCACCTCTGCTTCCCAAGGAAGCGATGAGAATGGTAGCTGCTTATGCGTCCCTAGACAGGGCATTGTTTTGAGTAAAATCTGGTAGAAAGCGTCTCTCTGCATGCCGTATTGACCATCCATGCTGACTGCACTCCTGCGCGTCCGGACAACATGACGGATAGTAGCCCGGCCGTATGACGAAGCAAACTGTCGAAAGCAAGTTTCTCGGCTTGTCTGCTCGCGGCTCGCCTCCATGCAGCCAGTTGACAACGACTCTGCGAGCGCTGGCTTCTTGGCTGCCTGTGCTGCCCGATAAATGATTTCCCAGCGAACGTGTTCTCGGCTCAGCGAGTTGGGCTTGCCATTCCAAGCCAGTTTGGAAAGCTGACAGACGAGCTCTGTAGACGGAGACCAGTTGGAGGGAACTGCCTTGTCGCTCGGAAACAAAAGCATGACGCAGTCTCCATGCTCGTTCTCTAGCTCCGGAAAGTGTCCTTTGGCAACATCACTGCTGTCCGAGGCCGACGCGTCATCTCGAGGCAATCCCAACAAAAGTCGCAAGTCGCTGGAACTCCACGAGTCGACAAGCTTCGTCTTCCAGCCAAGTGTTGCCGCCGCAATGGCCACGGTTCCTATAGCATGCCCGACGTCGTGGTTGCAGTACCTGAATGCTCTCTCCCCATACTTCCAAGCTTCTCTCCAGAAGATGGAGGACAGGCCGACGAAAAAAGAACCCGGCGGGAAATCCATGGAGAGCTCCTTCCAAGTTGACGGAGGCATCTGTGCTCGAATCTCCAATGCGTGCTCCTTGGGCGCGTAGTGAGCAATGAATGGCGAGTCACACACGCCAGTAACCGGACCACTGATAATATATCCTTCGGTGGGGTGGAGATTTCCACTGCTGGGATTCACACGGAGCGACCATGTCGATCCCCCTGCTGATTTCCACGCGGAGAGCGCCAGAGAATCGTAAAGCAGCTGCGAGAGCGTCCGCTTGGTAACAGGCCTTGGAGCAACCGCGAGCTTGAAGACACTGGGATACGAAAGAGGAGTGTCCTCTTTTCCTTGTTCGTCCGGCGGGAGATGATCCAGGGGCGCCAATTGAGCTCCCTGGTAGCGCCTAAATGGATCGGGCTGGTTGATCCAATCCAGGCCACGCGGGCCGCGAGCATACCTTGTTAGAGAATGCTTGGTCGCCTCGTGATACTTGATCACACTCGCAATCTCCGCCGCCTCCATGGTGCAGCATTCCTGCTGCTGGCGGTGGCATGAACGCTGGAAATGGGGAGCCCTGGCGATGGGCCGCGGCGGGGACGCTCTACCTCCTCCTAGGGCTGTGGGGAATGTCCTCCTCATCCGTGCCCTAGAGCATAAGCTAGGTCACTTTCTTCCTGGAATTCTTTTTCCCCCGCAACGGCTCTTTTCAAACTGCGCTCTCGCTTGGCTGAGATTGAGATGTGGGTTTTCTCCTAGCGCCTGGATCAGCGCCATGGGCTGGCTGTTTGGATGCTTTGGATGCGGCGGAGGGAGGAAGGAAAGATTGCCAAGGCTCTGCTCACGGACTAGTCGCGGCCATAAATCCACAGTAAGTTCTCCCCTTTCTGCCCTTTTCCTCTTCAATGTGCTCACGTTTGTAGCAGCAGCATGCCCAGTCGTCACAGCTCACGCCCTCGTTTGCTACTGCTGCTGGAGGAAATCCCTGGCTGAGAAGTGGTGAGCTTTTTTATGTTTCTGGTAGCTTAATGGCGGTGTCTTCTCAGGTGAATGCCTCAGTGTGGACAGCAATGGACTCCAACACTTGCGTATCAGAGATCGCCCCTTGCAGAGTGTGCTGGAAGCTGATCAAGCCAAGTTTTTGAAGGAAGAGGTACATCCCCCTCATTTTCTTCCTGCGAGCTTAACACACAGGTCTCTCAGTTTCGGTCGTGCGTCATATCCTTAGAAACTCCACATGAACCTCTAAAGGTCTCTAAAGCTCCTCTGGAGGCACCAAGATGGGATTCGTCGCCGGAGGATTCACCAGTATCAACTTCCGCAAGGTTTGCAAGTTTTTCGAGCTCTCCATTCATTCATTTTAACTTTTGTGGTTTGTTAGCCTTCCGCCTCCGTCAAACAATGTCGAAGCGGGGACAGTGCCAGAAGGGATGAAGGACAAAAACACACAGGCTGCACTGGCCGCAGGCACGGCAGAACCAAACCCGAAGCCAGTGCCGGAACAGGTTTCGCTCGTCTGTCTTCCGAAAACGGCCGGATTCTTCATGCTTCCCAAGAAGAGAAGCTTTGCACACCGGTCATTCATGTGGCAAGAGCCACTTTCACCAGTTGCCGAAGCAGAGTCCAGCATCTCTTCCGAAGAGGAAGGAAACGTTCCTTCACAGGCAAACGTGAGCATCAATTCCGACTGCAGCAGAAGATCGCAGGCAGAGGCTCCGTCCTCCAGTGAAGTGCTTGAGGGGCTCAGGAGCGAAGGCAGCGACGTGGAAATAACACCCGTTCGGTGCATGTCACCCGTTGTGGAGAGGAAAACAGTCGAAGCTCGGAGTGATGGATCCAAGGACAAGGAAAATATATTTGCATGCAAAACCCCGATGGAGGCGGAGAAGCGCCAGGATCACCAAACTTCCGTGCTGACACCCGTTGGAAACGTACTGCAATGGCGACAGCTGAAAGAAGAGGCATGGCACAAGAACAAGCGGGTGGAAGAAAAGGAAGACGATTTTCACGAAGACAAAGTATCACCAACAACAAGCAGTGGATCCAACGAGCTGGAGATCGAATCGGAGAACTACTCTTTCTTTTCGGAGCTGCAGTGGGGCTCCACGCAGATCACTCCACAGCTGAGACCAACTTCGCGCTGGGATGACGAGACAAGTTCGGCCGAGGCGGAGGCGGAGGCGGACGCAACTCCCAAACTCTGGGACGGGCAGGGAATTCCAAACACCACCCGGAAATACAAAGAGGTAGATATTTTCTCGTTGGTTGCTCGTTTTTCTCTTTCTCATGTCGTGGACGTGACATCAGGATCAGCGGGTCACCTGGCACTCTACACCGTTCGAGGTCCGAATTGACAAAGCGTTATCGTCGTCTCGACAGTTGCGAGCAACCGATGCAGCGGGGGCTTCGAGGTGAGAATGAATCTTTCTTTTGTGTTTGCTGTCTGCCTGTCTGTCGAGTAAACTATTAACTGGCAGACGTGTGCTTGATCTTTTCCTGGCAGGAGCACGCTGTTTTGAGCACGAACGCGAGTCCACCGTAGCATTGCTGGTGACTAAACTAACAGTGACGAGCGCCACAACCACGGACGAGTTGAAGCTGAAAAGACATTGCGGAATCATTGGAACAGCGCAAGTCTTAGAGGAGATGTTTTGTTTGTGTCAAATGCGTTACGTAAGGTGAGGTAGCGATTCGAAGGGGAGGAGACGGACGAATCAATCAGGCAAGAATTTGATGTCTGGATATGCTTAGCTTATCAATGGCACTGAGAGGAAGGAGCATATGATAGACCTATATTTGGCGAGGGGTGAGGTTTGTGGCAGCCATATAGCAGCCATGGTGTCCAGATCTTACTCCAATTTGCTGGATCTATCGTCCCCGGCAGAGGGCACGGCGTCGCCCCGGGGCCGACGATTGCCGCGCGTCATGACGGTGGCGGGGCTGTGCAGCGACAGCCGGATCATCGAGGACGACAGCGCGTCCGAGGCGGCCTCCATCTCGCACAGCAGCCGGGTGATCATCGTCGCCCACCAGCTGCCCCTCCACGGCGAGCGCCGCCCCGACAATCTCCTCTGGAATTTCAGGTGGGATGACGATTCGCTGCTGTTGCAGCTCAAGGATGGGCTCCCCGAGGAGCTGGAGGTGGTGTACGTCGGCTGCCTGCGCGTGGACGTGCCCATGAGCGAGCAGGACGAGGTGGCCGCCATCCTCCTCCGCGATTTCAACTGCGTGCCCGCCTTCCTGCCGCCGGATCTCCACGGCCGCTTCTACCACGGGTTTTGCAAGCAGCAGCTATGGCCGCTCTTCCACTACATGCTGCCGCTCACCACGGACCCCGGCGGCCGCTTCGACCGCCTCCTGTGGCAGGCCTACGTCTCCGCCAACAAGATCTTTGCGGACAAGGTGATGGAGGTGATCAGCCCCGAGGAGGATTTCGTGTGGCTGCACGACTACCACCTCATGGTGCTGCCAACCTTTTTGCGCAAGCGCTTCAACAGGATCAAGCTGGGCTTCTTCCTCCACAGCCCCTTCCCCTCGTCGGAGATCTACCGCACGCTGCCCGTCCGCGAGCAGATCCTCCGGGCGCTCCTCAACGCCGACCTCATCGGCTTCCACACCTTCGACTACGCCCGCCACTTCCTCTCGTGCTGCAGCCGGATGCTGGGCCTCGAGTTTGAGTCGCGGAGGGGATACATCGGCCTCGAGTACTACGGCCGCACGGTGGGCATCAAGATCATGCCGGTTGGCATCCACATGTCGCAGCTCGAGGCCGGGCTCAAGCTCCAGCAGACCAACGGCCGGGTGGAGGAGCTCAGCGTCCAGTTTGCGGGGAAGATCGTGCTGCTGGGCATGGACGACATGGACATATTCAAGGGGATCGGCCTCAAGTTCCTGGCGATGGAGGAGCTGCTCAACCAGCACCCCGAGTATAGAGGAAAGTTGGTGCTCGTCCAGATTGGGAACCCGGCCAGGGGGCGGGGCAAGGACGTTCTCGAGGTCCAGCACGAGGCTTACGCGGTGGCGAAGCGGGTGAACCAGGCCTACGGCCGCGAAGGCTACCAGCCGGTGGTTCTCATCGAGAGGGACATGCCGCTGTACGAGCGGATCGCTTACTACACCATCGCCGAGTGCTGCATTGTCACGGCCGTCCGCGACGGCATGAACCTCATCCCTTACGAGTATATCGTCTGCCGACAAGGCATGGGCGAAGAAGGTGACGAGCACGAAGCCGATGATGGACTTGGCCGCATCGGGGTTATTACAGTGGAGGACAGTGACAAGCCCAAGAAGAAGAGCATGCTGGTGGTGTCGGAGTTCATCGGCTGCTCGCCGTCGCTGAGCGGGGCCATCCGCGTCAACCCCTGGAACATCGAGGCTGTGGCCGAGGCGATGATAATGGCGGTCAGCATGCCCGAGGCCGAGAAGCACGCCAGGCACGAGAAGCACTTCAAGTACGTGAGCTCGCACGACGTTGCGTACTGGGCGCAGAGCTTCATGGCGGACCTGGAGAGAGCTTGCCGGGATCACTCGCGGAGGAGGTCCTACGGGATCGGGTTCGGGCTGGGCTTCCGGGTGGTGGCGCTGGATCCAAACTTCCGGAGGCTCATGACCGAGCACCTCGTGTCCGTGTACAGGAGGAGCTCCTGCCGGGCGATCCTGCTCGACTACGATGGAACCATGATGCCGCAGACGTCGGTGAACAAGACTCCCAGCCCCGAGGTCATCTCCATCCTCAACACGCTGTGTAGCAATCCCAAGAACGTGGTGTTCATCGTTAGTGGACGTGACAGACAGATTCTCCATAAGTGGTTCTCCCAGTGCGATAAGCTTGGGCTGGCGGCCGAGCACGGCTACTTCTACAGGTACGTTCGTTTACTTTCTCTCGCTTTCCTCTCTTTCGAGATATTCAAAGCAAGTGCTGCTTGTCGCAGGTGGTCCAGAGACGAGGATTGGCAGGCGTGCGTGCCGGTGCCCGACTTCGAGTGGAAGCACGTAGCACTTCCGGTGATGAGGCAGTACATGGACAGCACGGATGGATCCTACATCGAGGCCAAGGAGAGCGCTCTCGTGTGGCACCACCGGGACGCCGACCCCGACTTTGGATCGTGGCAAGCCAAGGAGCTGCTGGATCACCTGGAGAGCGTCCTCGCCAATGATCCGGTGTCCGTCAAGAGCGGCCAGTTTATCGTGGAGGTGAAGCCACAGGTACGCAAAGTCTTATCTTGTTCACGGGTTTGGGCGGAGTTGTAAAGAGCTTTGTCTGTTTTCCTTCCAGGGAGTGAGCAAAGGCGTGGTGGTGGAGCGCTTGCTATCGTCGCTCGCACAGACGGGCAAGTCACCCGACTTCGTCCTGTGCATCGGAGACGACCGGTCGGACGAGGACATGTTTGAGAAGCTGGGGCACGCCATCTCCTCGTCGTCGGCGGAGGTGTTTGCATGCACGGTGGGGCAGAAGCCGAGCAAAGCCCGCTACTACCTGGACGACACGGTGGACGTGATCAAGATGCTCGAGGCCGTGGCCACCGCGTCCGAGTCGAGCTTGAGTTCGCCGATGCTTGGTGGCGGCGGCGGCGGCGGCGGCGGCCATGGATTCGACTCCCCGTCTCCTTTGCTCACGTTTGCGAGCTCCATGGAGAATGCGCTCACAATGTAGGCCAGGCGCGTTCCTTTCTTTCTTTCTTTCTTTCTCTCTTTTGGAATCACCGAGCTAACAAAGGTGGGGAGGCGGGCGACCCCTCCACTGAAAACAAAAGCTCGTAAAAGTAATATCATCGCTGTTTGTTGTCGTTGTCCTCTTAGGTAGAAGGGGAGCGACGAGACGAGCAAAGAAAAAAAAAAAAAATTTAAAGGAAAGAGTAGTAAGTACTAAGTGCGTGCAGGGGAGTGGAATAATGGCACAAGGGGCTTGCTTGCTTCTCATCCTCTCCTCCTCGTCTCGCATAGGCCTAGGGCGCACGCAATCGCTTCCTCTGCCCTCCAGGAATGATGGACAGATCCATCATTCTTGCTTGCTCGCCAATTGATGGGCCGCGGGTGAGTGAGTAGCAGTCGGAGTGGATCTAGCGAGGTGAGCGCGAGCTCGGGATTTGTGGCTAGACCTAGGGCATGGCGCAACGGAGCGAGGAGGATGGGAATGGCAGCGGCGCCGAGGAGTGCTTCCACGAGGCGGAGGAGGCGCAAGGCGAGGAGGTGGAGAGGCTGTACCAGAGAGTCCAGATGATGGAGAATGTGATTGTGGATATCTTCGGCACTGTCTCGGCGCTCAAGAACGCCTACATCCAGCTCCAGTCGGCGCACTCTCCCTACAATGCGGATAAGCTGCGCTCCGCCGACAGGTTGGTCATTGGCGAGCTGCGCAGGCTCTCGGAGATCAAACACATGCTCAAGGGGAGGAGCCGGGGTGGTGGTGGTGGTGGCGGCGGGGGTCACTACCTCCTCCACCAAGCTGCCGCCGCCTCCGCCAACAGCAACGATCGCAAGCTTGTGGAGGAGCTCCAGGCGGGCCTCAAGGAGAAGCAGTCCATCATCGATTCCTACGACAGCCGCATGCAAGCTTGCGAGAAGGAGCTGGCGGAGCAGCACGAGGAGATGGAGCGCCTCAAGGAGTCGCTCAGGCGGGCGACGAGCAAGAAGGAGAAGCTGGAGAGGCGGCTCAACGAGCTCCCTCGAGGTGGTGGAGGTGGCGGCGGTGCGGGCATGATGAACGGCAACGTCTCGCTTGCTCCCCCGCTCTTCGAGCAGATGGCTCAAGCTGCTCGCGGCGAGGCGTTTAGCTTCGCAAAGATGTTCATCGGACTGCTCAAGAATGCCGACTGGGACCTGGAGGCCGCCGCAAACTCGATCCAGCCGGGCGCCGTCTACGCCAGGCCAATCCACACCAGGTTTGCATTCGAGTCCTACGTCTGCCAGAGGATGTTCAATGGCTTCGAGAACGAAAACTTTTATCTCAGCGGCAGCTTGTCGTCCATCCTCGACCCCGGCAAGCACCGCCACGACTGCTTCTTGCAGTTCCAGGACATGCGCTCCATCGATCCGCTGGAGCTCGTCTCCACCACGCCCGACTGCCTCTTTGGCAAGTTCTGCCTGCGGAAGTACCTCCAGATCGTGCACGAGAAGATGGAGGAGTCCTTCTTCGGGCATCTGCAACACAGGAACCAGGTGCTGGGCGGCGAGCACCCGAGCAGCCAGTTTTATCACAGGTTCTTGGAGCTGGCCAAGAGCGTGTGGCTGCTCCATCGCCTCGCCTTCTCCTTCAACCCCACCGCCAGCATCTTCCAGGTGAAGAAGGACACGAGTTTCCAGAGCGAGTTCATGGAGAGCGTTGTGGATCTCGAAGGTGGCGGGGGCGGGGACTTGCACACGGTGGGATTCACTGTCATGCCTGGCTTCCGCCTGGAGAACGCAGTCATCAAATGCCTGGTGTATCTAAATCAAGGGGGAGGAGGCAGCGGAGGCGGAGGAGATTAAATTCTAGTCATCAATATACCCCATTCATTGTCTAGACGTTTATCCTCGGAAGAAAAAACTATAGAAGCTGTAAGTTCTAAGTGTGATGAAAGAAACGACACATTTTTTTCTTTTGTTCACCGCCAGAGCTGTGGATGAAGGTGGAAGGTGTTGGTGGCAATCCATCCAACTACAGGCTCGCCTGTAAAGATTTAGAAGAAACGATGAGCTAAGAAACTCGTCTTCTATTAGGGTTCGTGCGTGCGCGAGCGAGGGATAGTCGACTGGCAGTTGGATCCAGGTGAGTGGCACCCGACATTTTTTGTTTCCTGTTTGGTAGCAGCTGGTATTTATGCGGCATGTTCCGGTTGCGACACCTGCCCCTGGCCGCCGCCGCCGCCTCCTTCTTCAGGCCTGCTGCCCCTGCTCGGTCCTCTTTGCAGGCGAAAAAGAGGAAGCCTCCCGCGTTTGCCTTTGCGCGCACGGTCGCCAGAGCTGCAGGGCCAGATGCTATGGCCGATAAGCACAGCGCTAGCAGTGCCACTGCGGCTGGCTCGGGAGACAAGCACAAGCATTCCAATCGCCTCCTCCATGAAAACAGCCCGTATCTTCTCCAGCATGCACACAATCCAGTATAGCTCGCTCCCTCCAATTTTGTTTTCTCTTCTGTTCTTGTTTTCGTTTTTATGATGATCTAGTCTTGTGTGCATGTAGGTGGATTGGTATCCATGGGGAGAAGAAGCGTTTGCCAAGGCCAAGGCAGAAGACAAGCCGATTTTCCTATCAGGTATGCTACTGCGTGTGTCTTCTGCTTCCTAACAAAAAGGGCTTGCAGTCGGATACAGCACTTGTCACTGGTACTGCGCTCGAGTGTTTTTCTCCTTTCTTTCTCCGGCATAAGAGAACTGACTGAGAACTTCTTTTGTAGGTGTCATGTAATGGAAGTGGAATCGTTCGAGAGCGAAGAGGTCGCCAAATTGCTCAATGACTGGTTTGTGAGCATCAAAGTCGACCGGGAAGAGAGGCCCGACGTTGATAAGGTTTTTTTTCGTCTTCATGCCCGTATACCTTGTGAATGCTTTCATGCAGATCTACATGACATTCGTCCAAGCTTCACAAGGTGGAGGAGGCTGGCCTATGAGCGTCTTTCTTACGCCGGAGCTCAAGCCCATCGTGGGAGGAACGTACTTCCCTCCCGAGGATAATTACGGTCGTCCAGGGTTTAAGACAGTTTTAAGGTAGCTGGTCTCTAGCTAGCTAGCACTTACACATTTTGAAGCTGGAATCTTGCTGCTGCAGGCGAGTGAAGGAGAACTGGGACTCGAGGAAAGCCGTGCTTCGAAACGCTGGGGACAATGTCATTCAGCAGCTTGCAGAGGCAATGGCCGCGTGTGCAACGTCTCTTCAAGTTTCAGGTGGTGTGGCGGAGCAAGCTGTCCAGCTCTGTGCTAGTCAGGTAGTTTGAGGTTTGAGCTTATGTTCTTTGCTATCATTATTAACGTCTCTCGGATCTGCGTTTGCAGCTCATGAAAGGTTTTGATGCCAAGCTCGGCGGGTTTGGTAGTGCACCAAAGTTTCCCAGGCCGGTGGAGCTGAACTTGATGCTTCGGTATTATAAGCGTCTGGATCAAGCTGGCAAAGCAAGCCTCTCCAAAAAGGCTTTGGAAATGGCAAGTTTTAATCTTCAATGCATGGCGCGGGGAGGAATGCACGATCATGTTGGAGGAGGATTCCACAGATATAGCGTTGATGATTACTGGCATGGTAAGCATCAAATCATTTTGTTTTCTTCATCGAAGCGATATCGGGTTGCTTGGTTATGACAGTCCCACATTTCGAAAAGATGCTCTATGACCAGGCTCAGCTTGCAAATGCCTACCTTGACGTTTACCTCGTCACGAGAGATACGATGCATGCCTGCGTTGCAAGAGATATTTTAGACTACTTGAACCGGGACATGACACACCCTGAGGGTGGCATATTTTCTGCTGAAGATGCGGACAGTCTAGAACCAAGCGGATCCTCAAAGAAGAAAGAAGGCGCATTCTACGTCTGGACTGCCAAAGAAGTAAGAAATCTTGCAGTTTGACGTAAGGATAGCTAACAAATGACTCACAGATCGAAGACGTTCTTGGGAAGGATCGCGCTCAGATTTTCGCGGCTCATTACTACGTGAGAGAGCAAGGAAACTGCAACCTGTCACGAATGAGCGATCCTCACAATGAGTTCCTGGGCAAAAATGTGCTCATAGAGCGGCAGAGCTTAGCTGATACCGTGGCAAAGTTTGGAAAAACTGTTGAAGAAACTGCTGACCTCCTTGGGCAATGCCGAGAGTTGCTCCACGCCCATAGATCCAAAAGGCCTCGTCCACATCTGGATGACAAGGTAACGGACCATTTGTTTCTACTTTTCGAACGTTGTAAACTTCTATGCAGGTTATTGTTGCTTGGAATGGCCTAGCGATTTCAGCTTACTCTCGTGCTTCCAGATTCTTGAGGGCTGAACCCGAAGGATTGAAGCATTACTTTCCAGATATGGGATGCGACGTAAGTGATCATCCTCTCTTTCATTTCAGTTCTAGGAGTAACCTTCCGTCATTGCAGCCGAAGGACTACTTGATAGTTGCTGAACGTATTGCAAAATTCGTGAAAGATAAGATCTACAATGCAAGTGCGAAGCGACTTCAGCGTAGCTACCGGAAGTCTCCATCCCAGGCTCCCGGATTCTTGGACGATTATGCGTTTTTAATTGCTGGACTTTTAGACTTGTACGAGGCCAGTGGAGACACGAAGTGGCTTGCCTGGGTCTTTGAGCTTCAAGAAGTGCAGGTATTATGTCGTCTTTCCTGCACTTGGTAACTTGAGCGTCGCTTGCAATGCAGGACCATCTGTTCTTGGATAAAGAAGGTGGGGGTTATTTCAGCACTGCAGAAGGCGATTCCTCCATTTTGTTCCGCATGAAGGAGGACTACGATGGTGCCGAGCCTTCAGGTAATTCAGTAGCGGCCATCAACTTGTTGCGTCTCGCTTCTATCTGTCACGGCGAGGAGGGAAAATTGTTTCTTGAGAGGGCTCAGCATCTTTTGGTACGTTTTGCAGCATTTCGTAGTTTCTTTTCTTCATTGCTCGCTTCTCGCACACAGGCTGTTTTCGAAGGCAAGGTGAAAGAATTGGCTATGGCAGTGCCCCTGATGTGCTGTGCCTACGATGTGCTGGCCGTTCCTTCCAAGCGACAGATTTTGGTGGCAGGCGCCAAAACGTCAGGCGAGTTTGATGCATTGGTGACGACAAGTCATCTCTTCTTCGACCCGGATTCGACCGTAAGATTGCCATCTTTCACTTGGCTTTGTGACGATATTTGTTTTGTCCCGCGATGCCAGATTATCCAGATAGATCCGGAGCTGCCTAGCGACGTAGAGTTTTGGCAAGCCAAGAATCCGATGCTCCTGGCCATGGCACAGGGAAAAGCCCCCAAGAGCAAAGCAGTGGCCTTTGTTTGCCAGGATTTCAAGTGCTATGCTCCAGTCTCAGATGCGGCTGCACTGGAGCGGCTCCTCAACAAGAACAAGAGCAAGGTGGCAGCCGTTTAGCTTATCTGTAAGTAGTCGATGTCGAGATGTAGAAAGGACCTTGAGAAACTCATTCGGAAGGATGTACAATACAGAAAGCCTGTTGAGGAGAAAAAATGCTGTTCCCGAAAAGAAAAAAAAAACGTTTTTTTCTCAGACACGCACAACTTGGTGCACGTTCAACTTGAGCTGCTCCTGCACGAAGACGATCCGGATGCTGCCCAGATCGATCCTGTCGGCGTACTCGGGATAGCTGGCGTGCATGCTCTCTTGCAAGACCTTGGCCGCCTTGAGCACGAAGTAGTAGTCCTTGTTGTTGGTGAGGAAGATGGTCGACTTGTAGAGAAACGCGCACTGGAGCAGGGTGACGAGGAAGTCTATCGATTTCGCGGGATCCCTGGGCAACTGATACCGCGCCTCCACGATCCACTGCATCACCTCCTCCGCCAAATGCCCGATGCTGTTCCGGTCCCCCTCGTCCAGAAACGCGCCCGGGACACAGACCTTGTGCATCCGGTTGCACGCGATGGCGTACCTGTGAATGAGCTTCGGGGGCGCGTTGAGCCGCCCGCGGTCCTCCAGCGCGCGGAGCATGCCCAGGAACACCTGCCGGTCGGGCGACGCCTTGTCCAGCCGCATCCGCGAGAAGATGGCGCCGATGTTGGCGTCCATCACCACCGTGTCGTCCGACGCCAGAATGTCGGGCACCCCCAGGCTCGGGAAGTGGGGGCGCTGCTCCTGCCACTCGCGCCACCACGCGTCGTAGCCGCTGACGATGATCTTGTCGCTCCTGGCCTCCCGGGCCGCGAGCTCATCGCTGGGAAGTGGCGGCGGCGGCGGCGGCAGCTTGTGTGTGGTGGCGACGAGGGCGGCGCTGGAGCAGCGCCGGATGAGCTGATAGGCGCCATTGCTGCTGCCGCTGCTAGTGTTGCTGCTGGCGGTGGCGCGCTTGACGACGATCCGGGCGAGGAGAGCCCAGCCCATCAAACTCTCAACCGAGAAGAGGGGAAGAAACCCTCATCCCTCTGTGCCGGCTGAAGATTCCGACGGCGAAGATTGCGCGTGACATGGCACTGGCAGTGAAATTTGGCGCCCCGAGAACTCTCATTCAGTTGGCTTGCCCTAAAGCCTAGCTAGCACACCGCAGCACAGATTTCTCGCAGCGCGGAGCGATGAGGACGCCCCAGCCTCGTCCCAAAGGTATGCCACTGATCCATCGGCGCCATTCACCGCCTGTAGGTCACATTCTTGCGTCTCTCGCAGCTGCTAAATCCAGTAGCTCCGCGGCTGAAGACGATGACAAGGGGAAGAAGCGGCTGGCCTCTACGGTAAGGCTCTTCGTTTCACGTCAGCCTGGAAATCGATCGGAAATGCGCTGGTGGTAAACGCAGGCCTTTCTGGAGGATGAGAGCGTTTTGGATCCCAAGGTCATGGTCCCTTATGTCACCAAAGTCGGGGAGATCCCTCGCAAAGTTCAAGTGGAGAGGTTCGAAAGAGAGCTTAGAAACGACTTTGTGAGCTGATTCTTTCTCTCCAGAAAGAAGCGGCTCTATGCTCTCCAAGATGCTGGAGTGCTGCTGGCCGCCGAAGGTCTCGAGAATCTTGATCTGGGGAGTGAGACGGGTAGGCTGCCCTTGCATTGGTTCGACAACACGGACTTTGAGACTCGACTTCCTTCCAACTGGTGAGCCTTTCACGATATAAATAGAGCTGTCTGCGAATAATCCAGTATTGTGTAGGATCGACAAAGTCTCAGTTGTTTCTGCGCAAGCTGCGTACGTTAACTACGAAGGGCGGTGTGTTTGGAAACACTGCTTGGCTATTGACTTCATCGAAGAGAATGACACTTACCTTGTCCAGTGGGAGGATACTGGACAGACGTTGTGGTTGCCAAGGCAATGTACTGATCCTTTTTAGCTTTACCGCGTCATAGCTGCTTTGACAACTTACCACCAGCGATCTACAAATGCAGGATGCTGGTTCACTTCAAAGCCGAAGATCCTTTTCTGTTTACAAAACGTGTTGTTGCAGCAGTTAAACTTCGGGAGGATGTCGAAGCTCTCATTGTAAGATGTCCTGTGTCGTTTCCAGGAGTTCTGATCATTTCCGCTTTCTATGCAGAAATACAACTTGTTCGTCAACAATATGCCCGTTGACGACATACCTCACCTTAGAGATGATCAGGAGAGCCGGATACGTAACCTGGCATTCAACAGTAAAGATTTAAGGGAGAGGAACCTCGACGCTGCTTCCAGAATAGGAGAAATTAACCTGGACTATGCACATGCAATGAACAACATTGTCTTTGACGAGAGCCTTCGGAAACGCCCGACCTCTTGCAAAGAGTTTATTCTTCCACTGGACATGCAGTTTCCGAAGAAGGTGATGCCACCTGTTCCACAGTAAGTGCTTGCTTTATCTTTTTTTAGCTTTATGACTAAACAATGAGCACTGTCCGTGACCTTCAGGTTTGGTTGTATTAGAGTTCCAGAGTATAACTTTGAAGAAAGGTCCAGTGAGTTCCATTTCTGTTCCTGTCTCACGAAGACAGAGGTAATTATCGCCACTGTCAAAGTTCGAGCGGAATGCAGGAAGGTGCTCAACATGTCCTTGCTAAATACTCACTACAACAAGAGTCTGCGACTCGACGAGTTTGATCAGATGCAATCACAGATGATCGAGCAAACTTCGGTGCACTTGCGGGACAGGTAAATCACGGTATTCTGTGTTTTATTGCTAAGCTTGCATTTTTGTGCTCCAGCTGGACTACATTGCTAAAAAATATAGTGCGTAGCGCTTTTAAAGACGTTGGTAAAGGCTGGTTCAATATCCGTGAGCACAGCATGGATGCTTATCAGTGCAGTAAAATGAAGCGATTCCTTCATATGGTTCAGTACATGATGGAAGATTCAGTGCGATTTCTCGTAGAGGGTGCACTGGCGACTTATTGCCAGTTCGTAGAAAGGTTTTGCGGCAATCCTATTGTAGAGATACTAAATCCAGACACAGTTTCAACTGTCTGGCCAGCAGACGACTTCGGGGTACAGCACTTGGATTTTCTGTTTGTATCACGCTTACATCGCTCTTGGCTTTTTTTTTTTCAGGTGATCAAAAAGCCTCCTCTCTTCACCCTTGAGCTTCTCAATGTAGAAGGAGGAAAGTTTGATTATAATATAGCTTTAAAAAGATTTGAGGATGTTATATGTCGAGCTTTCGATGCTGCGGTTCTATCACTGCAAGCTATTCCCACAGTGGAGCCAGCCATCATGGAAAAGCTCTTCTGGAGCAAAATACCGTCAATAAGTGCTGTGAATCTACTCGAACCGAAGGTTCAAAAGCTAAGATCGAGAGTAGAGGTATGTTCTACGTTGATCTTGTGCGTGTTAAACTACGGAAGTAGAACACTGAGACATTTAAATAGGTTCGTTGCAGACTGCTGTGCAAAAGGCGATCAATATGGCAAAAACATATCTTGACAAGTACAGAGTTCACGAACCGTTACTTCAGCTGGAGATACCAAAGTATAAAACGGAGCTCGAAGGAAGGAAGCCTCTACTAAAAGATCTGCTCGTGGAAGCTCGAACTCATAGGGTGGACCAGGAGGAGTTAGAAACCAGGTGAAGCAGCTTAGTTTTCAATACTTAATAGACTATTTGATTTTGCAGGATACCATCGAATATTGCCTTCGGTCCATTTACAATTTCATGCAAGAAAGTGCGCACTGTTCTTGTAACAAAGAAGTCCCAACTAACTGAGCTAGGTTTGTATGAGGTTTTAACTGTGCAAAGGAAGCTGATCAAATGATTACAGTGTTTGGTTTGATAACTGGAACGCCAAGGCAAATGGCTCAAACTGTTTCCGGAAAGTTTGAGGAAAAGGAAAAACAGCTAAGAATCAAGACTAAGACACCAGAAGAAGTCGCTTCTCAGCGTGAATTTATAGCCACACTCCCCATGAAGATTACGGAGCTCAAAGGAGAAATTGATCAAACCGAGGTAATGCTCTACAGAAGCGTTATGTATTCACGTGTTATACTTTCTAGGTGTATTACAATGCACTTGATGAGCTGAGCTACAACCTTTCCGACAGCGATTTTGCCTTGAGGTGGACGTGCCAGGGGTGGCCATCAAGGCTCGAGAAACAGATAGAGAAAACTGAGAAAACGTTAGCAACCGATATGGAACGCTACCAGCGAGAGATGGAAGAGCAGCAAATTGCTTTTCTTGGCACCATGGATACCTTGGAATCAGTTGTTGGAGGGTTTAAGCAGTATGAAGATCTTGCAGAGGTACACGTATGGTTTTTTGAAAATGCTATTTTCTAAACTGTTTCTGTGCAGACAGATAATGTTTCGGCTGAAGCTCGTAAGATTCATGCACAACTCAAAAAAGCTGAGGAGCTGTCACGCCTCTTTAATTCCAGAGAGCTTTTGTTTGGGGTACCGACAACTGATTACAGCCGTGTGAGAAAAACGGTGGAGGCATTTGAACCATTCCACTACCTTTGGACTTCAGCTGATGATTGGAAACGAAGCTACCAAAGCTGGATGAATGATGAGTTCACAACACTCGATTCTGATCATGTTGAAAGAAGTGTCACCGGCTGGTGGAAAGGCCTGTTCAAAACCAACCGTGTTTTTACTCAGAAGGAACTTCCCAAATGTGCATCGAACTGTGAGGAGATTCGTGGTCAGGTAATACCGTTTGCTCCGGTAGAGAAAGATTGTTTTCATGGTTGACATTTTTGTTCAGGTTGGGGAATTCAGACCCTATGTTCCTTTGATACAAGCACTCCGCACTCCCGGAATGAGAGACCGTCATTGGGATCAACTTTCCGCAGAGCTTAAGATGGATTTGCATATGAAACCGGATTTCAATCTGAAGAAAGGCATTGCCATGGGCCTCCTTGATCATCTGGAGGTTATACAGCAAGTTGCAGATGTTGCTAGCAAAGAATACGGAATCGAGGTTGCTTTGGAAAAGATGGAAGAAGATTGGAAGGAGGCATACTTGCAGGTTCGTACAATTCTAAAACCTTACAATGTGTGTCTGATGGAAATTGTTTCTTACAGGTCATGGAGTATAAAGAAACTGGCACGTACATTGTCAAAGTTGACGAGTCGATATTGCAGCAACTTGACGACCATATTGCCATGAGCCAGTCCATGAGCTTTTCTCCTTTCAAGAAACCATTTGAAGAGAAAATTGCAAAGTGGGAAGCTCAGCTTGTACTCATGTCTGACCTTCTCGACGAATGGTTTGCACTGCAAAGACAATGGATGTACTTGGAACCTATTTTCAGCAGTCCGGACATTCAGACACAGCTTCCTATTGAGAGTAAGAGATTCAACACTGTCAACACAATCTGGCGAAAAGCTCTTGCTCAAGCGAAACAAACGCCTCACATGCTTACAATGTGCACGAGCAAGAAGCTGTGTGAACAATTTAAGGATTCTAACAAGGTACGTGGAGTCCGTCTTGTAATGCTTCTAACACATTCTTTGCACGCAGTTGATTGATCTCGTCCAAAAGGGCCTTGCTGATTATTTGGAGACAAAGCGTTTAGCATTTAGTCGATTCTTTTTTCTTTCCAATGATGAGCTCCTCCAAATACTATCACAGGCAAAGAATCCTTTGGCTGTTCAGCCGCATTTGCGCAAATGTTTCGAAGCCATTGCGGAGCTTGACTTTAAGAAGGACATGGAAATAACAGCCATGAACTCCGGCGAAGGGGAAAAGGTTAACCATGATCATTTAACTTTTAGTTCGTTCTCATATAGTTTTCTGCAGGTTCCGTTTGCAACCACGATGCATCCTCTTGGAAATGTAGAGGTATGGCTTTCTGAAGTGGAGAAGAGGATGAAAGAAAGTATACATGCTCAGGTGCGTTGGCGCGCGTGCGCGCGCTTTGATGCATTTTTTATTGATTGCCCTATAGATCCGTCTTTCGCTTGCTGCGTATAAAACAACTGCAAGAACTGACTGGGTTCAAGTATGGCCCGGCCAAGTAGTTCTCTGTGGAAGCTCATTCTATTGGACGCAACAAGTGGAAAATGCTATCAACGAAAATAATTTACAAGATTATTTCACGAATATACAGGTTAGAGTTTATGTTTTGGCGAGGCCGTTGTTTAACATGGTGTTCCAGTTCTTATACAGGTTGAGCAATTGATGGCTTTAACGGATCTTGTGCGAAAACCTCTGTCAGCACTTGCCCGATTGACCCTCGGGGCTCTTATTGTCATTGATGTTCATGCTCGTGATGTCACTCAAAAGCTCATTGACGAGAACGTAAGTGGCTTTTTTTTTTATCAGTCTTCGGTTTCTAAGTAAGTTTCACGACCTGCAGGTGAAAGCAGTGACAGATTTTGAATGGGTGAGCCAGCTCCGTTATTACTGGGAAAATGAGGGAGTTTATGTGAAGATGGTCCAAGCATCGCTTCCATATGGCTATGAATATCTGGGAAACACTCCACGGCTTGTTATAACGCCTCTAACAGATAGGTGTTACATGACCCTTATGGGAGCTTTGCATTTGAATCTGGGTGGAGCTCCTGCTGGTCCTGCCGGAACTGGAAAGACTGAGACGACAAAAGATCTTGCGAAGGTAAAAACGCTTCGCAACATGCATGCGTGATCTTGTAACGAACAAATTCTGCAGGCGCTAGCAAAGCAGTGTGTAGTTTTCAACTGCTCGGATGGTCTTGACTACCTGGCTATGGGAAAGTTTTTCAAAGGACTTGCTAGCAGTGGAGCATGGGCATGTTTTGATGAATTCAATCGGATTGATTTGGAAGTGCTCTCCGTGGTTGCTCAGCAGATTTTAACTATTCAACTGGCTATCCAACAAAAGTTAAAGCGTTTTATTTTCGAAGATACGGAGATTTCGCTCGATCCATCATGTTCTGTTTACATCACTATGAACCCCGGGTAAGTAACTGACAGCTACACTTCTTTCGCATTGATCCGAAAGACATTGTTGATCAGATACGCCGGACGCTCGGAGCTACCAGACAATCTTAAGGCTCTTTTCAGGCCCTGCGCAATGATGGTTCCCAATTACGAACTGATTGGCGAAATCAGTCTATTTTCGTTTGGATTTCGTCGCGCCAAAAATCTTGCCAGAAAGATGGTTGCCACGTTCAAACTTTGCTCTGAGCAATTATCTTCACAGGTTAGTGTCCTTACTCTTCATTTTTGTTTGTCACTCCTAACATATGAATCGCGGCAGGACCACTATGACTACGGAATGAGAGCAGTGAAAAGTGTTATTGTCGCTGCTGGTAATCTGAAGCGAGCTTATCCCGATGAAGACGAGGACGTACTGCTTCTTTGCGGCCTACGTGATGTCAATGTTCCCAAGTTTCTTAGCCAGGATCTGCCCCTGTTTGCCGGTATCATTACGGATTTGTTTCCGGGAGTAGAGCCACCGGAAATATCGTACGTGGATCTTCTTGATGCTTTGGCAAGAGCATCCGTGGAGCTGAATATTCAACCAGTCCCTGCCTTTACAAACAAGGTATATGTAAAGGTGTTGGGCCGCATTGTTTCTTCATGTTTTTTTTTCTACCTCTGAAGGTTATTCAACTCTATGAAACAACCATAGTGAGGCACGGGCTGATGTTGGTGGGACCAACTGGAGCCGGCAAGACTATGTGTTATCGTTCTCTCTCCATGGCTATGACAACACTTGAGAAAGAAGGCTCCGTGAAATATAAGAAGGTATTTATAAGCGTGTATGCTATTAATGACTTATATCCATGGTGACTTGCAGGTGCAAATAGTCTGTCTGAATCCCAAATCCATCACAATGGGTCAGCTTTATGGTGATTTTGACGAAAACACTCACGAGTGGACTGATGGCGTTTTAGCATGTTACATGCGCGCTTTGGCAGAAGAACCATCACAAGATAAAAAATGGCTTATGTTTGACGGTCCAGTGGATGCAGTCTGGATAGAAAACATGGTATGTTTCTGTCTCGTTTTTATTTTTACTTATCCCCGGGTTTTCTGCTGCGTAGAACACTGTTCTTGACGACAACAAGAAGCTGTGTCTCGTCAGTGGAGAGATTATTCAACTGACTTCTACTATGACGATGATGTTTGAGGTGGAAGACTTGGCGGTGGCCTCACCGGCCACAGTTAGCAGATGCGGGATGATTTATATGGAGCCTACTGCCAGGGGATTTGACCCTCTTATAGTCTCATGGCTCCAGCGACTGTCCCCGGCTATCAAAGCTCACAGTGAAAAGCTCACTCTTTTGTTCAACGAGGTTGCCTGTCACGCGATTAAGTACACAAAGAAGAATCTCAAGCAGACTGTATTGACGACGGAAGACAATCTTGTGTTGAGCCTGTTCAATGTTATGGACAGCATGATGGCCCCCTATGTCAAGGATATCGGTCAGGATCTAAATGATGAGGAAAAGGAACGCTTGCCACAGGTTTGGTGTTTTTCTATTCTGCGTGTTTTACCGGCTCGAAGCTGACGCTTGTGTCACAGATTATCGAGCCTCTATTTATCTTCTCTATTGTCTGGTCCATTGGAGTTACGTGCGATAACACCGGACGAATGAAGTTCGATAACCAGCTACGGGCTTTGCTTGGGCCGCTGGCGTTAGAAAAGCCTCCTCCAGCCGACATGGACGTCTTTTCTTATCACTTCAACCATCTGACTATGGAGTGGTTGGATTGGATGCAGACCATTCCGAAGTATGTCTGTAACCCAGACAAGCCGTTTTCGGAGCTCATTGTCCCGACAGTGGATTCGGTTCGATCCAAGTTTGTAATCAGTACGCTCTTGAAGATCGGGAAGCACGTTTTGTGTGTCGGAGAGACCGGGACGGGCAAGACTCTGGTCATGCAAGATCAGTTACTGAATCACATGGACGCTGCTTTCATCCCCATTTTCGTCAACTTTTCTGCAAGAACAAGTGCCAACCAGACACAGGATTTGATAGACTCCAAGACCGAGAAGAGGCGGAAGGGAGTTTTCGGTCCCCCCATCAACAAGAAGTACATTATCTTCGTGGATGATGTCAACATGCCACAGAGAGAGAAGTACTTCGCGCAGCCTCCAATCGAGATACTTCGTCAGTGGATGGATCACAAGGGATGGTATGACAGGAAGCCACCTTGCGCCTTTAGAACTCTGATCGAGATACAGTTTGTTGGCTGCATGGGGCCGCCGGGAGGAGGACGGAATCCCGTCACTTTCAGGTTTCTACGGCATTTTAACTTTCTGTCCTTCAACGACATGTCTGACGAGAGCTTGGCGATGATTTTCTCCACCATCTTGGGAGCGACTTTTACGCAAAAGTTCCAAGAAGATGTGCATAGAGCCGCAACTCCGATTGTTCTCGCCAGCATTGATGTGTACAACACTATACGCCAGGAATTGTTGCCAACTCCTTCGAAGTCTCATTACACTTTCAACCTGAGAGATCTTAGTAAGACCATACAAGGTGTTCTTCGCGCCGATCCGAATCAGAGCAAGAGCTTCAACTCCATGATTACTATCTGGCTTCATGAGGCCATGCGTGTTTTTCAGGTAGGTGTTTGGTTGTTTGCAACAGATTTTCTAACTCTCGCGCTTTGCAGGATCGCCTCATCAATGACGAGGATCGGACATGGTTTTCCAATTTGCTTGCAAATCTTATCCGTAAACACTTCGACCTTGAATGGAACGAAGTTGTAAGGCGAGAACGTCTGATGTTTGGGGATTTCCTAGTGCCCGGTGCAGAACCAAAAATTTACGAGGAGGTACACTATGTCTTTTAATCGTCGTGGAAGCTAACTTTCTCCCATTGCTAGATCACTGACCTCGTGAAACTACCATCTGTTGTGGAAAATTACTTGGAGGAGTACAATAATGTTAGCAACGCCCCAATGAAGCTGGTTCTATTTCTCGACGCTATAGAACATATTTCAAGAGTGTGCAGAGTCATCCGTCTGCCACTTGGAAATGCGCTGCTGCTTGGGGTTGGAGGCAGCGGGAGGCAGAGTCTAACAAAGCTGGCGACTTTCATGGAGGACTTTGAGTTGTTCCAGGTTGAGATTCTTAAAGAACTTCTAACACTCATTTACAATGTCGACAAAACTTCTCCTTGCAGATTGAGATTGCAAAAGGCTATGGCAACACAGAATGGAGAGATGACCTGAAAAGAGTTCTTATGAAAGCTGGCGTTGACGACAAAGAAACAACGTTCCTTTTCTCTGACACACAGATCCTAACGGAATCTTTTCTTGAAGATATCAACAATATCCTGAACTCTGGCGAGGTAACATTTTTTCACGTTTAATCCCTTCCTTACGAAGACTTCAGGTGCCAAACCTATGGAAAAATGAGGATATGGATCTTATCTCAAATGCAATGCGGCCTATTCTCTTGTCCCTGGGGCTTCCGGCCACGAAGCTTGCACTTTATACGTTATTTTTGAAGCGCGTGCGGCGAAATCTCCATCTTGTCATCTGCATGAGTCCCATAGGAGACGCATTTCGGACCCGGCTTCGCATGTTCCCCTCTCTTGTCAACTGCTGTACCATCGACTGGTTTCGTGAATGGCCTGAAGAGGCCCTTCAGTCGGTCGCGAGGAACTTTTTGAATGCTACTCAAATGCTGGACAATGAACAGGTATGTATACAATCTCTTTCTTTTCTTATTCAATCTGTTGCCCCCCTGTGGTACTTTCAGATTGCGAAGATAGTTACAGTCTGTGTGTATATTCATCAATCTGTGGAGAGGCGTTCAAAAGAGTTCTATGAGGAACTACGTCGGTACAACTACGTGACACCAACGAGCTACCTCGAACTTCTCTCGACATACATCAAGCTTCTGGAGGAGAAGCGCGACGAACTTGAGGGACTTCGATCGAGGCTGGAGATAGGATTGGACAAGCTGCTGACTACGGCAGCTGATGTTGAAGTCATGCAAAAGGAGCTGGTTGCTTTGCAGCCTATTCTCGAAGCAACTGCGAAAGAAGCTGATGAAATGATGGTTGCCATCGGGCAAGATAAGAAAGATGCAGATGTTACGAAGCAAGCGGTAACTTGATCATCTGACGTGAAGCGTTGAACTTAGATGTGTTTGGTTTTTGGCAGGTGTCTCAACAAGAAGCAGACGCCAATGCCCAAGCTGCTGACGCCAAAGCAATTGCTGACAGTGCACAAAACGACCTTGATCAGGCCATGCCTGCACTGGAGTCCGCCTTGTCCGCTTTGAAAGCTCTCACGAAGAATGATCTTGTCGAAGTCAAGTCCTTGCGAAACCCACCAGAAGGAGTTAAGCTTGTGATGGAAGCCACTTGTATCATGTTTGTCGTGCCACCGAAGATGGTCAATGATCCCAACAGAGTAAGGCTTTTTGAGTTTCTGGATCGATGCTGACTCTCCAAATTTTTCAACTTGAACAGCTTGGAAAGAAAATACCCGACTATTGGGATCCCAGCACAAAGTTACTGACAGACCCTCAGAAGTTTTTAGACTCTCTATTGCAGTTTGACAGAGAGAATATACAAGAGGCTACGATTCAGAAAATTGAACCATATCTTGCACTGGAAACATTCACGCCAGAACAGGCACGTAATGTTAAACGACCTGCAGGTTGCTCATACGTTTGCTGCAGGTCGCTAGAGTTTCAAAGGCTTGCACATCAATATGTATGTGGGTGCGAGCAATGCACCAGTATTATCAGGTGCTTAAGATAGTCCGTCCGAAGCGGGAGCAACTTGCAGTAGCTCAAGCGTTACTTGATGAAACGATGGGAAAACTCCAGGCGGCACAGGCTAAGCTAAAAGAGGTATCGTTTTGAGTATGCTCCGCTTATGTCTAACTGTATATCCTTCATTATAGGTGGAAGAAAAAATAGCTAGGTTGGAAGCACAGCTGAATGCTGCAATAAAGAAGAAGGAAGACCTTGCCAAGCAAAAAAGCGATTGCGAGAAAAAAATGGAGCGTGCTTCAAAACTGATCGGAGGCTTGGGTGGTGAAAGGAAGAGGTGGAACGAGACTATTATAAACCTCACCGATGACATGGAAAACATTGTTGGTGATGTTGCTGTTGCCGCTGGAGCAATTGCCTATACAGGGCCGTTTACCCCCCAATACAGGCTACGTCTCAATCAGGAATGGGTAAAGCTGTTGCAAACGCTGCAAGTAAGTGACCATGTTGTAACTTGCATCTACTGGAACTGACCGTTACCGTCTTTCAGCTGCCACATACGCGTGGTGTTACTCTTCAAGCTGTGCTTAAAGACCCCGTGAAGATGCGAGCTTGGAATATTGCTGGGCTACCTAGTGACTCTCTAAGTGAGGACAACGGCATTATTGTCTTCAAAGCGCGACGCTGGCCTCTCATGATTGATCCACAGGTGAATTGAGCACAATAAAATTGGTTCCTGTACTCTTTTTTCTTTTCTTTTTTTCTCATGCGCAGGGTCAAGCAAACAAATGGGTGAAAAACATGTACAGAGAAACTGGTTTGGACGTGATTAAACTTAGCGAAAGGGATTACCTACGGACTCTTGAAAATGCTGTCCGGTTTGGCAGAGTGGTGCTGCTAGAAAACATCTGGGAAACATTAGAGCCAGCATTGGAACCTCTTCTGCTAAGGTTGACTTTCAAGCAGGGAGGAACAGAAGTCATTAAGATAGGCGACAATCTTATTCCATACCATAAAGATTTCCGGTTTTATATGACAACAAAGCTTCGAAATCCTCACTATGCACCGGAGGTATGGCTATGGAAACTGTCATGTTTCTTTGAATGCCTTTGTTTCCGGACAGGTGTGCGTGAAGGTAACACTGCTTAATTTTTTCGTGACTATGGAGGGTCTTGAGGATCAGCTTCTGGGTCAAGTTGTTACCAAGGAAAGGCCTGATCTTGCTGAAATGAAGAACCAGCTTGTCGTCTCGAATGCCAACATGAAGCGCGAGCTTAAGGAAATTGAGTCCAAAATATTGTTTCTTCTATCAAATGCTCAGGTCAGTGACACCGTTGTGCTTGTCTCCGCCATTTTCTCACAGTTGTGTCGTTGCGACAGGGTGACATATTAGAGGATGAAGTACTTATAAATACTTTAGCACAGTCCAAGGTAACTTCGGATGAAATCACCATTAAGGTTGCTGAAGCCGAGAAGACAGAAATTGCCATTGACGAGACACGTGAAGTAAGCTTTCTATCGTGTCCCAAACTCAATAGAAAAGTTCGGTCTATGGTCAGGTGTATCGCAAAGTGGCAACAAGGGCCTCTATTCTATTTTTCTGTATTTCGGACTTGGCCATTGTGGATCCCATGTATCAGTACAGTCTTGCTTGGTTCATCAACTTATTTGGTCGAGCTATTGAAAGTGCTGCGCAAGCTTCCATCATTGACAAGCGAATTGAGAATTTAAACGAATACTTCACGTATTCCTTGTACGTGAATATCTGTCGGTCGCTTTTCGAAAAGCACAAGCTCATGTTTTCGTTCCTTCTTTGCATCAAGATTATGCAGGCATGGAATTTATGTTCTTGTTGAACTCTTTCTGACATATATCTACAGGGACGGAAAGAAGTTGATCCCGCCGAGTGGCGGTTTCTACTGGCTGGTGCTGCCAGTTCAAGTGCACTCAGTCCAAATCCAGCACCTTCATGGCTTACTGACAAGGTACATCTGGTTCTTCCTGTTTTTTTCTCACCCTACTGAACGTTACGGTGGCCTACCTTTCAGTCCTGGATTGAAATTGCCAACCTTAGCAAGCTTCCAAACTACCAGGGCCTTGATAAACACGTGGCCGAGAACGTAGGACACTATAGAAAGTATTTTGACAGCCCGGAAGCTCATCGAGAGCCCCTGGCTGGTGAATGGGACACAAAGCTCAGCATGCTCCAAAAGTTGCTGATACTTCGATGCCTTCGGGTAGACAAGGCTCTTCTCGGTGTTCAAGACTTCGTTGCTGCAACAATGGGACAACGATTCATAGAGCCGCCAGCATTTGATCTGGGTGCATGTTATAAGGATGGATCCAACTCATCACCGCTTATATTCGTTCTCTCAGCAGGTGCAGATCCTATGGCAGATCTACTGAAGCTTGCTGATGAACTGAGATTTACCAAGAAGTTCGAAAAGGTACGTACACGAGCTCGTTAGAACTTGTTCTTAACCGTTTGACTATCACCAGGTGTCTTTGGGCCAAGGACAAGGTCCCAAGGCAGAAAAGTTGCTAGAGCTTGGTATGGAACGAGGAATGTGGGTGTGCTTACAGAATTGCCACTTGTCCCAGTCATGGATGCCAGCTTTGGAGCGTATTGTGGACAATATTGATCCAGAGAAGGTACAAGATTGGATTTTTTTATTTTTTTTTTGTGAATTACAAGGAAGAATTCCTTTGTAGGTTCACAAGGATTTCCGGCTGTGGCTGACAAGCATGCCCAGTCCAGACTTTCCTGTTTCTATCCTTCAAAATGGTGTAAAGATGACGCTGGAACCACCCAAGGGATTGAAATCCAATCTTGCGAGGTCCTACTTGCGTTTCACCGACAAGATCTTGAGCGACTGCGCAAAACCAGACGAGTGGAAGAAGCTTATTTTTGCAAGCTGCTTGTTCCATGCTGTCATTCAAGAGAGACGCAAGTTCGGACCACTTGGCTGGAACATCCGGTACGAGTTTACTGACGGAGATTTGAGTGTATGCCAAACTCAGATCAGAATGTTTTTGAACGACTATCAGGAAATCCCATACAAGGTTTGTACTGCTGCGAGCAAAGATCCGAATCTAACTACCCGCATTGCTTGCAGGTCATTCGATTCTTGTGTGGAGAAATCAACTATGGAGGACGAGTTACAGACGACAAAGACAGGAGGCTCATCAACAATCTTCTTTTGATTTTTATCAATCCCAATGTACGGCACATGGTGTTTTTCCCTTGGTTCTACGCTCACTATTTCCACTTTTTCTCTCAGGTGGTAGAAACATCTCAATACTTCTTCAGTCCATCGGGTGTATTTCGAGTTCCAGAAGCCTCTAACGTGAATCAGTTCCTGGCTTACATCAAAGAGCTACCACTTGCACCAAAGCCAGAAATCTTTGGACTTCACGAGAACGCGGACATCACTTGCGACCAGAACGAGTCGTACGACCTCTTCAACACCGTGCTCATGCTGCAACCAAGGGAGCAGAGCTCCGGAGGAGGGGGCTTGTCCCGGGAAGAGATGATCGAGAAGTCGTGCCGTGACATTCTGGAGAAGTTGCCTTCGGTGTTTGACGTGGAGGCGGTCCTGCAGTTGTATCCCACCATGTATAGCGAGAGTATGAACACCGTGCTGACGCAGGAGTGCATTCGGTACAATGGTCTTCTCTCGGTCATGAAGACATCGCTCAATGACGCTCTCAAGGCTCTCATAGGTCTCGTGGTCATGTCCATGGAACTTGAGATGGTGTGCTCTAGCATCTTCAATAACCAGGTAAACTTTCTTGTCATTCGTTCTTCCGTTTCGTAGTATAGATTGTTAAAACCTTTGGAGCATATTTGCAGGTGCCTGAAATGTGGGCTGGTAAGGCTTATCCTTCGTTGAAACCTCTTTCGGCTTGGGTGGCTGATCTATTGGAGCGAACAAATTTCATCAGTACATGGATAAGGAACGGTGCTCCTCCCGTGTTTTGGATTTCAGGATTTTTCTTCCCTCAGGTTTGCTTCTCCTGTTTTTCTTTACGTCTCCGAGCAGCAAGCTAAACTCATCTCTCAAACACGCCCAGGCCTTCCTGACGGGAACACTGCAAAACTTTGCGAGAAAGTACAGATACCCCATCGATACCGTGGGCTTCGACTTCGTGATCATTGACGACAGAACTTACGACACCATCAAGCAGCCCCCGGACGATGGCTGCTACATCCGGGGCCTATACCTCGAGGGATGCCGGTGGAACTACGAGCAGCACGTCCTGGACGAATCCAGGCCCAAGGAGTTGTACACGGAGCTCCCGGTGGTGTGGCTCAAGCCTCTCCAGTTTAGGAAGGCTCCCACGGAAGGCATCTACGAGTGCCCGGTTTACAAGACACTGGTTCGCGCAGGTACGCAGATCACTCCCTCCTTGCGAGTTAAAACATTTAAGTTCACAAGAATCTCTCTCGTTTTTCAGGAACACTATCGACTACTGGTCACTCGACAAACTTTGTCATGTATATAGAGCTGCCTTCCAAGGAAGATCAATCACACTGGATAAACAGGGGTGTTGGTCTCTTCACGTCACTGGCTTATTAGTTTTGTAGAATGGTAGAAGCGAGAGTAGTGAACGAGGAGTGAGAGTGAGATGACCAACGGTGTAAGTGTCAAGTGATTGCTCTCTTTTTTCACGTACATATTGTACATAGCTTGCTTGTAAATAACTTGAACTGCGGGTATATTTTGGAATCTAGGTCTTTAGTTTTCTTTCTTTTCTGTCTTGCTTCCATGGAAGAAGAGCTCCACAATGCAGCTTCTGACGCTGGTATGGAGATAGTGTTGCCATCTTTTTCTCATGTTTTCTCCAGGCGGAGCTCTTTCTCTGGACAACGATGGAACGCAAAACTCGGAGAGCACCAGCACTGACGTGTGGGAGAACTTGCGAGAGATTTTTCAAGACATAGACTCCCAGTCCAGCAGGTCTCTCAAAAATGTGTTTCTTGCTATTAGATCTTGGGAAAGTAACACACACTCGAGGTTATCAGTGTCGAGAGCAAGGCTCTCTTAAAGAAACCCATCATGCATCTCCGGCGACTACTGGAAGTCCACTCTATGATCCGTAAGACCTCGCCTCGGCTAGTTCTTGAGAACCAGAGACGTTTCTTGCTTACAGGTGAGGCAGAAAACGAGCTGGATAAATCTTACCTTGGTGTTTTGTTCGAGCGAGAGTGGTACCTCAGAAAACTACAAGCTGTTGAGGTACTTCGGAAACTCGATCAAGCTTGTTCTTTCTGTCTTTCTTAGGCTGCAATCGGGCCTGCTCCACCATACGTCCAAACCGTGACAAACACCGGCGGCGTTTCTGCGGCAGCAGCATTCGCCATGACCATCAGAAGCATTCTCTACGAAGATAGCCAGGATTTCAGCCTGGTTGGATCGAAATGGCGGTGAAGATCTATCCTGTTTTATTAGTACGTACTGCCTAGGGGAACAAAAGTTGTTCCACAATCGCTTTTAATCTACTTATACGTACATGAAGTCGAGACCCGGAAGTGCATTGGCCGCACCTTTCCTCTCGGCTTCGGCTTCCGCTTCGCGCTCCTTTCTGCTCTCGTACTCGTGGTCGTCGGTGCGCATCTCGTACCTGCAAACCGGGCACGAGTTGTGCTCCTCCTGCGCGAACGTCATATAACGTTTCTCAGCCAAGACACGAATCCAGAAAAAAAAAAAAAAAAACAGCACACGTACCAGCCATGGCTTGAGACAGAGAGGATGGAAGTAGTGTTTGCAAGGCATCTCTTGCATCTCATCGCCGACCACCAAAACTTCTCTGCAAACTGCACACTCGGTTCCATCGCCCAGGCCCTTCAGCACTTCCTCGGTCACGCGCACGATGGAAAGCTTCGCGACTTCGTCCTTGGAAGCTGGAGGTGGTCCTTTCTGAGTATCCTGCTCCTGCAAGGCACAGAAGAAGAGATAACTCGAATCGCTGTGAAGTTTGGTGGCATCTAACACGTTACCTGGCTTAGCCGAACTGCCTGTTCAATCACAAAGTTCTCCAGCGCTGTGAGTGACTGCACATAATCCTCCAGCTCTTCGTCGTCATGTTCGCCTTCACCATCAAGCTGTGCCGGTCCGTAATGATACGTAGTCGGAGCGAGAAGCCATAGCGGAGGTCGTGGCTCCGGATCGACAGTCAATTGTCCCTCGAACAAAAATGGTGAGCCTGTTCACGAGGCGGTTGGAGACAAAGACTAAAAGAAAAATTTGCATACGCACTTGGTCCTGCTTGCGCTTGCTGCTGTGGCGGTGAATTGTCTTCGTCCTCGTGGAGAAACTCGTGAGCCTTAGTGAGCCAGTTCATCATGTTCTCCTGCTCTTGCGGGTCTGTGATGGCATCTCCAGCTTCCTCAAACAGTATCTGCCCAGCAATCCAGAATCCTTTTCCAGTGTAGCGGCTCTGAAGGAGCGAGCCCGCTCGGCAAGCAGCTGCGTACATCTACACACTCTCCCTGGCTCAAATCAATCCTCTCACAGGAATCAGATCGCTCACTCACCGCTCTCTTCTCCGCCGCCGTGGCCCCGTCATAGCGATCGCGGAAGAGAGATGCCAGCGCCGTGGCCGCGCTCTCGAAGCTGCTCTTCTTTCCGAGCTGGTTGTGAAGATCCGCCACGACCGCCTCCATTGCCCCTGGTTGCCCTAAAATAAAAAAATGCAAGGAAAATACTATTTACAGCCAACGCGGGAATTTAGAAACAAAACGCGCTAGAATTTAATGGAGCTTTTAGGGTAATGGGCCCAATTCTCCTTAATTCCGGCCACCCCTCAAACCTTGTCCATGTGACAAATGGAAAATTATGTGGCAATTTTTTGGCAGGTTCTATGGCATTTTAAATTATGATGGATTTGAGTGTCATCTAAGAATTCATCACTTTTTTCAATTAAAAATCTAGCTATTTAAAAGAAAAGGAACTCATTCCATTGCTCTATTTCATCTCTATTCTTGAGTTTAGAAGAGAACTTAATAAAACTGTAGAAACAAAAAATTTGTTGACTTCAACTATTCATCAAGCTACATTTCATCATAGGGTCAAAGTATCTCAAAAGTGAAAAAAGTTGGAAAGAATACATCAATTTTTGAGATATGCCATTCTTTTGAAGAAGAAAAACATTCATTTCTTAATAATTTCTTAGATCCTATCACAAGATTTACTATTCAATCAACTACAAAACTTAGCCAACACAATATGCATACACTAAGCACATTGCATGCCATTTCCTTGCCTAGTCAAAATTCTATAACAAGAAACCAGCATACTACAGGGCAAAAGAACGCAACTTTCAAGAGCTTGTGCGCAAATACTAGTAGCTCCCAGAGGCTGTCCCATTCTGGGCTTTTCGTGCGTGGCTGGATGCTGACTTACAAGACATGGACAAACAGTAGAGAAGTCAGACATTTCTTCTTCTTTCAACCTGACGATCTTTTACCTTTATAATGCTAGGACATTGGATTTCAAGTACACTTTCAGGGACAAGAGCTGCCAGACTTCTCTACACCATGAGCTGGAAGCAAGTCCAGTTAAAAATCTGAAATGGAAACAGATAATTACCTCTTGCTGCAAGGACACCCTAAAGGTTCTTCAAACCTAAATTCCCTATAGGGTGTATATGTGAGTTTTACATCTGTAATCATTAGCAATGAATTTTTTGGTTCTTACAGGAAGGATTTAAGTGACAGCACGTAGCCAGAAGCATGCAATTAGAATATGGAATGAAGAATCAATAAAGAAGGCTATGCATGAGGTGGAAGAGTGTGGCATGTCTGGACGACTTTGTGAGATTAGTTAAGGGGACATAGCATAGGACGACCAGGTCCTCCCACCATTCTTACATCATCGGAAGAAGAGTCTCTTGCATCTTTGATGAAAGCTCAAGCTGAAATCAATTATCCACTCACTTTCAATCAATTGAAAGATGCAGCAAAGCTATTAGTTACTGGCAGAGTAATTACCTGGATAGAAGGAGGACTAAGTCAAAAATGGTGCAAAGGTTTTATGAAAAGACATCTAGAGATCAGTAACAAAGTCACTGAGGCCTTGGAGTTGCAACGAGCAAAGTCCTTGAATCAAGTAGTTTGGCACAATTCTACAAAAACTTGGAAGCAACTTACATTGGAAACAACTATGAGGCAGATCATATCTGGAATGCTGACGAAACTAGCATTTGGGCTAATCGTTCTGGAGGTGTCAAAGTGTTAGCTGCTCGAGGTGCAAGATCTTGTTACCGAATCGTCCCAAATAACACAAAGCACATGACTGTTCTAGTGGCCATAAATGCAGTAGGTGGACGAATACCTGGCTTTTATATCTTCAAAGGTGAGTGGAGGATGCAAAATTGGATTGCAGATTGTGAAGTTGGAGCTACATTCACCATCAGTAAGAAAGCCTGGATGACAGACAACTTGTGGCCACAATGGCTTGAACACTTTGTGAAATCAGTACCTAATGGATGCTCACCTACAAACTGCCATGCTCTCATTGTTGATGGCCACAAATCCTATGTCACAAAGGTTGCACTTGACATAGCAAGAATGTTAGGTGTGGATGTGATTCTTCTTCCAGCATATACTTCTCACCACATGCAGCTATTAGACATTGCATGTTTTGGGCCATACAAGTGTTACTTCAAGCAGTGCATGGATGAACACACTCTTGGACATCTAAGACACGAAGTCAATTGTCAAGATCTCATACAGTTATCCAGTAGAGCCATGGCTATGGCTCTGACACCTACAAACATCCAATCCAATTTTAGAGCAAGTGGTTTATGGCCATTGAACAAGAATGCTATGGACACTCACTTTGGTCCAAGTACACTCCATGTAGTATCTCTCGACGACTTTGAAGCAGACTTCAAAAACACTTTGGAGCTGGGAGACCAAGAGATCGGCAGCCACCTCAATCAGAACTAGGACTTGAGTAGGATCTAGTGCAACCTGAACAGCATGAGGATCTAGTGTAGGCTGCGGTCCATCTACAACATCCAATGTAGCCTAAGTAGCAAGCAAGCAGTGATCATGACCAGCTTGAGCATCTTGAACTTCCTAGACAACTTGAGCAGCTAGGTAAAAAGCACTTCTTAATTCTCATTCACAAGAGTTTTGCTAGAGCATCAAGCTGAGCAGCATGAGCAACACGTGGATGTGCCTGGATGGCAATTAGAAAACAGTTGGGTGGCATACTTGCATACAAAATTATTTTCAAGGGTGCAAAGTCATCCTCGACTTGGACCAGTGTTGCAAGCTAGTGCTGGAACTATTTCAACAAGTCTAGAATTCACTAGTGTTGTCAAAGCAATTGCCACTGCAAAAGAAGCACATGAGAAGCAAAAAAAATTGGAAGCAATTGAAAGGGCTGCAAGGAAAAAGGAAAGAGAAGAAACAACAATAAAAAAGAAAGAAGTAGCAGCCATCAAGAAAAAGGAGAGGGAAGAAGCAACAGCTAGAAAAGCTCAAGCAATAGAGAAGAAAAAATTAGAAGCCTTAAAAAAAAAAGGGAGAAAGAAGAGGAAGCAATGAGAAAAAATAAAATAAAAGAATGCATGAAGTCCTAGAATCTCTAATGCCAAGCAAACACTAAATACAAAAGTAACAAATTTGCTTGTTTCTCTAATATCTCTTGGCTTGCTTGTAGTTACTTGGAGAATGTCCTTATCCCACATTGCCCTCACTCCTCGTGGCAACAAATGGACAATGTTAAGGCCATCAATGTGTGAGACACAAAATCCCTAGGCCCCAAAGTGGAGCCGGAGAGGGTGCCATGTGGTAGTGGCCAAAGCGAAAACCAAACGAGCGTAACACATTTGGACTAAAAGCTCCTACTTGAAAGGTCGAGAGCGGGAGTGGAACTCTCAACAACATGCTCGAGGAGTGAGCACGAAGCGAGCAATAAGCAAGGCTCCAAAAAGGGACCCAAAAGGTCCAACACATGACACATGGAAGAGTCCAAGGTGGACCCGAGATGGAGTCTGAGATGGACCTAAGATGGAGTTCGAGATGGACCCGAGATGGACCCGAGATGGAGTCTGAGATAGACCCGAATTGGAGTCCGAGGTGGACCTGAGATGGAGTCCGAGATGGAGTCTAAGATGGAACCGGTCAAATCGCCGGCAGTCGGGATCTAAGAACTCGAACTCGTCAAATCGCCGGCAGTCGGGAGTCACTGGGTGTCCAGCCTGAAGATGGGGGAAAATGTCGCTAGCGAGATCATCGGATTGAAGATCGTGGCGCCGTTTCTTGGAGGGGGCGAGCCATCAAACAACAGTCTGGACGGATCACAAAAATCTCGAGTACTTTGCCACTTCCCGAGTTTTAAGCCGTCGTCAAGCAAGGTGGGCACAATTCCTGAGTCGGTTTGACTTTGTTATCAAGTACAGACCTGGAAAGTTTCAAGGCCTTCCTGATGCTCTTTCAAGGCGCTCCTATCTCAGTCTCAGGCCTGGTAATCCTGCCTTCGATCAACAGGATCAAGTTATCCTCGGTCTTGATCGGCTTCAAGTTATGGCAATTTCCCTGGCCCCTCAGGACTCCTCCTTGATGGATG